CCACTGCTGAGACACACATCCAGCACCAGCCCTGTCCAATTAGGCCACTCCCACAACTGCCTCTCATCCAATCACAATGACACAGTCTACTGCGAACAGTCAGAAGCGTGCAAGACACGATGCCAGTCGTGTGTGTCTGAGCTGGAAACGTCACCAGAGTCCCAGTCAAATCTTGCCCACCCAGAGGGGCGGCTAGAAAACCCACGCAGTTTGTCACAAGCAGTGAGCAGCCCCAGCTTAGGGTTCTGTGATCCCTACCTTGAAGCAAACACAGGTCGTAGCACAGTTAATGAAAGCTGCCACAACATGGTAGGTCCCCTGAGAAAAACACTTCCCATTGTCAACCACGTTGGCATTGATGTAGGAACAGATGAGGGCTTGCTGCTGGGTCAGCAGAGAAGTGGAGAAATTGAGGATGATTTTTTCTCTGAGGGAGAGGCCACCAACTGGATCTCAAACCACTCATCAAACAATAATAGCCTGAGCTTTGACAGCAGGCAGACAGGCAGTGGAAATGACACTTATCTGGATCTTAAATATACTCCTCACTCAAACACAACTGAAGTATGGTCTTTAACTAAAGCTACTACCAGAACCTTCCACAACTCCAGGTCTTGTGGCACCTTGGAGGGAGGAGGAGGAGGAGACTCGGGTTGTAATGCTGCTCATAAATCTACTGAATTAGGATCATACATTCACTTATGCCACAAAAAAAGAGATCAGACTGCCAGTCAAGCGGAAAGGAACATAACTGCAGATAATGTGCGGGGTACTGATTCTCTCGCTGGCTCAATTATGCATACCAGAGGTTCAGAGGGTCGAAAACACGAAAAGCAATCATTGCTTAATGGAGAGAGATTGTATTCTGAGATAACACCTGAGGCAAGCTTCATAAAGTCCCCATCTTCTTTCAGTGAGCCTCAGACTGGTCAAGCAGGTGTCGTGACGGATAAACAGAGAAGTGACATGTGGGAGGGGGTTTCAACAGGAATATCTGTGGGTCTGAGTGACAAGAGCCGAAACTATGCAGAGACATCGGAGAGCAGCAGAGCCTTCGATAGCGGAGTAGGGGTTCGTGACTCCAGTATTTGCCTTGTTGAGCTCGGTGACTACAGTGAGGAGGAGGATGATGATGATATCACAGATATTACGTCAGGGATCTTTGCCGATTTCAACCTTGACTATGCTGACGTAGAGGATGAAGACCTCAGTCCAAAGAAGAATCCAGATGGAACTCCTGAATCTGTGGACACCATTAACCTCTCATCATCAATGGCAAGCCCCTGTGACCAGGCCTTCAGCCCCGATCCCTTCAATACCCCCATCCTGCCCAAATCTCTGGATAGTGGCTATGACACGGAAAACAACGAGTCTCCAGAGTTTATCTTCAGAGAGCTTGGAGATCCCCTGAGTGGTGATAGGAGCCCGAGGCTGGGTGGGGAACCAGAACTTGTTATGCAGGTGGGTTTAGGACAAGGGATTTGCACTTCCACAAGCACCTCAGAGCTGCAGTTAAAGGGCCTAACTGATAAGAACCCATATAGGGACTCAGCCTATTTCTCTGACTACGATGCTGAAAATGAGCGAAGTCCTCAAGAGCAAGGCAGTAAGTTCTTTGCAGGTCCAGGTAACAATTACTTTGCCACTGAGAAATTGAGCTCCATAAGAGATGACGATTCTTTCAAAAACCAATTCAACAACAGGGAACTTTTAACAAATCTAAGACACATCAAAAGTTGTGTTTTGGTGAAATTCTCAGAGGCTGACTCTGGTTCACCCCATTCTTTTCCCACCCCTGGATTATCCATGCTTTCACCGTTTCCACCACAGATGGGCGGCTGCCTGACCAAAGAGTCTGCCCCTGCAGATGATGATCTCGGGTTGGAGACAGAGCATTCGGGGGATGAGCCTTCCACAGAGCTCAGTTCGTCCATTGGGTCCTCCACTGTCCAGGAGGCCTCAGCAAACCATGAGGACGGGGGCAGGAGAGCAGATGACTGCTTCCCAGTCCAGTCACTGCATTCTGGCTCCGTTATATCTGACTGCAGTGATGAGAGCCCCAAAGAAAATGAAAACAGTGATGGATCCACGGAGGAGGAGGAGCTGCCTGAATTCAATCATGTCAAGGAGGAGACAGAGGACAGGCAGACAGAGGCTGTGAGAATAAATGAGGAAGATTTCGAGGACATAGATGCAGAAGAATGTGACTCACAGGAAAGTTTATGTGAAGAATCCAACGGTCCTCTTGACTTGTCCACTTCCTCATCATTGTTGGAGCTGTGCGGAGAAGATGTGAGGGCTCCACTGGAAGAGGCAGAAGATGAAGATGACTCAGATGACAGTGAGTCCGACGAGGAGTTAAGAACCTACAACATCCAAGATGAAGACAGTGAGGAGAGTGAGGAGGATTTCACCGCCGTGCCCGTGGTGGTCAGTGACTGCAGCAGGGCTAGACACCTCCGCAGCCTCCTGAAGATGCCCACCCTGCTCACCCAGTCCTTCTGTGACGAGTTGGAGAGGAAGAAAAAAGCTGTGTCCTTTTTCGATGATGTTACGGTGTTCCTTTTTGACCAGGTATGACTTGTTAATAGGGAACAGTTATGTCGTGTGTATTGACTACGAACAAATACATTGTTTAATTGCCGTTTATGACTTCCAGGAGAGCCCCACGGGAGAGCTGGCTGACTATTCCTTCTCAGCAGGAGTAGAGCCCAGTGAGCAGGAAGCTTCAGAGGAAAAAACCTCTGACCACCAGCCCAAGCCTGACCTTGACCCTGAACTTGAAGATCAAGAATGGGACACAGATTGTGTTTTTAATGAAACAGATGGGAACAGCTCAGACGAGGGTGAGGACACAAATGCTACGCGAAGTAATCCTAGCTGATGTATCCTGGACTAATCACCATATATGCGATTGTTGCTGTCTCGTGTGCACTCAGGTGGGAGTTACGAATGGAAAGACGATCGCCCCTTTGATCCCCATCCATCCATACCTGACACCATCCCTGAGCCTGCGTCTTCACCCACATCTGTCTCCAACAGTCCTGAGGCTCCTAAACCTGCCGCTGTAGCACTGAACCGTTTTATGGTCTCACGATTCTCTATCACACATGTTTCCGACCCCCACATGGGCTCAACCACAGGTCTGTATAAACTATCAGTCATACATAATTCTGGACATAATGTTAACTTTAAGTCACCCAATATTCTTCAAGAATTTGTGAAGATTTGACTTATTTTCAATCATTTATGTCCAACAGGTAACAGTGAAGATAGTCCAAAAGATTGAGTGTCCTGCGACTTTGACCAGAAGAGATCGATTCCTGGTCCTTCTCAACACAGAAAAGCAGCATTACTATATCTAGATGTTTTACAGAGTTTTATTTTTTATCAACGTTTGGGGCATCTGACCCTGGTGACCCTTTATGAGACAGTGCCTCATATTGTAGTGAAATACCCTAAATGATTTGCACACTTCTTTTTTTTTTTTTATTTTCACGAGGAAAGAGCAATGGCTCCAGGAACGGCAAACCTGATAGTGATGAACTAGAAAGTGGATACAAAGTCAGATCATATTGTTTGGAAAAATAGAAATCTTATATATAGTTTAAACATGCGGTATACCCATAACAGTAACTTATTTGCTCAATGCAGCATCAGATTCTTTCGGTGACCTTACAGTTATTTTAAAATTGTGAATTAAAAAAATATTCATAAAAATAAAAATGATAAAACATGTGAAACGACAGGCTTCATAGCTGCTCCTCTCATTGGCTGCTTTTGTTCATCCGCTTTCCATTGATCGGGGATTTTCGAGCAACTTAAGACTGTTACAGCTCTCGTTGGTGGAGCCGGAAATTAATGCTTGATAACTGTTGCACAAGAAGCAGTGATGGATTTCCAAACAAAACAAAACAAAAAAAAAAAGACTTGGTACTGGTGATGGTGTTCTAAGTTGTAAGTGCTTAAACTTATTTTGTCCCTTAATCCAAGTCATATCCAAATCATATTGATTGTGGGACTCCATGGATTCAATGTGCTATGTTAAAAGAAAACATAATACAGGAAATCAGGGTGTTGCCACTACTTAATCATCACCACCACCTCTCACTCTGGTTTCAATAACCTGCAGTATATGTCTTATCTGAAGCACTTTGTACAGCCTCTGTTGCTCCGTATCTCCCCATCCTGGAATGAAAAAGCTGAACATGTGAGATTCCCTATTTGTGTCCACGGTGCCAGCATAGGTTTATTTATTTTGTGCCATATTAGTTCTGTTTAAATTACATTTCATCAGCAATACATTGAAGGGGAAGAGAGGCGATTCAACACAATTCAATGGTGTCAGTGTCAGTCATGAATGTCCGTTATCATCTTTATGCATCTTTTCTACGTATTATTCATTGTCTCATACATAATGTATCTATTACATTTGTGCTGAATGGCTGGTTCTAAGGTGTACGGAAAAAAAAAAAAAAAAAAAGAAGACATTCAAAATAGGACATATCTGACATATTGTATGAATCTTATATCAACATGTAGCAGGTAGCTTGACTTGAATTACTACTGCTGTATCGACAGCTCCCTCCCCCTCTCTATCCCCTCTGTAGCTCCAAGTGCCAATTTCGTTTCCTCTTACCTTGCCTTTTAAGTTCTGCAAGAAGAGAAAATATTGCAAGTATTTTTGTACGAGTATTTGAACAGATGCAATCCAGGATGACAGTCTCTCAAATTTGCCAAAGAGATATTACAAAGCCTATTGGCTAAAGTGGCAGACGCCTTTGGAGAAGGTGAGGTGGGCTGTTCTATGCACCGGTAGTAACATCATTGCTGTTTCCATTCGTCCCTCACTCATGGCTGTTGTACTATCCCAACAAATAAATCCAAATACTTTTTCCCTTCTCGTGTCTGTGATACTTTCATCTGTATTGATGTCAAAAGAGGTTTTTTTGTTGTTGTTGTTGCACAAAACAAACAAAACAACACAACACATAAAAGTATGAAGTTTGTGCCCATGTAGATTTATTTTGGACAAGATAATTTATATGCACTTTCTGTACAGTACAGATATAATACAAACAGGGACAAAGGTGAGAAATGGACAAAATGAGAGCTATAGAAAAGTAAAAAATGCATTTGAAACTTGATGCCCAAATGAGTAATGTAATAAAAGCATGATCATATCACTCAGTGGACAGGACTCATCCATAAAAAACAGACTCGTCATGATGTAACGGTTAATTTAACACAGTCTAAGAGGCATTTCAGCTCATTCACACAACCATACATATTTTCTCCTATAAATCACATACAAATTCACCGCTATTCCCACACGTCATACTGTAGATAAATGCCTCCGCTCGAAGCTTGTTTCCCAGATGAGTGTACTGTATAATACTGAGTCTGAATGATCAAAAGCTGTAATACTGTACCTTATCTGATAAGCTACCACTCCCTCAAAGCTAAATATTACAAAAAAAAAAGACCCATTGTGTAAGCACTGTTTCGTCTTCCTGGCTATCTGGCAGCTTAGATATTACTGAAATTTAAAGAGAAGGAAAGAATAGCAATTCAAATATGTTCTCGTATTGTTTTTTGTAGAATTGCTCCTGTGCTGTACTGAAGCTTGCTCGAAAAAAGAAAAAAAAAAAAAGCAACTAAAACAAAAGGTGATACAACCCCACCAGTATTCTCTGTAATATAAAAATGCAAGTAAAGCGGTGATGCACATTCCCTCAAACCAGTTTACAGAATGATAGGGACAATGCCATTAGAACGTGTTTTCAAAAAACAAAAAGGCACAGTTCCCAAATTTAAAATCTGGGTATACTGTATCACGACTGCAGAGTATATATTTCTATATCACTTAACAGAAGCAGAGTTATAGTTTACTCACCAAATGTCCAGTTCTAGCTATCTGTGGCAGTATTCAATCCACACTTTTCCCTACAGTTTGCAGTACACTGATGCACAGAAAACTGCTACCGACCGTCTCACTTTAACCCTCAAGTCTCACTTAAACAACTAATAATGCAGTGTGCCTTCACTGCTCATTACTGTAAATAATCTTTCAATGAAATTTACAATGTATAGCATTGAAGAAAACAAAAGTAATCCCATAATAAAAGCGCAGATAAATAATGTGACGGCATAACTAGTAAAGCTCCTTAGCCATACCTTATCGACAACTGCTGCGATCTAAATAGCTAATAAAAGTTACTGTCACACTTTCACTTGAATGCTCAGGCTGATACATTCGATGCTGGTGAAAGCGTTTGCAAATCATTAAATGAGAAATTCTCGGAGTGAATTTCCACAGCAAAGAAACTATAAATTCTCAGTAGTGTAGCAAATTCCTTGAGGTGGCTTTTTTTTTTCTCTCCCAATCGCACTCTTGGGCCCTCTTGTGATAACATTATGGGACTGTAACAGGCCAATGATGGCCATTTTTTTTCCCTCCCTTATGACAAAAAGGGCCCATGAGTGGAAAAAGGAAACAGCAGGCCGCTAGTAGAAGATGGGTGCAGATCGGTCATCGGAGAAGGTGGGCCGGAGGTACACCTCCAGGGAACGGTCACTGTGGGGAGAGGAGGGGTGAGACAAGGAACACTTACAGTTAGCTTGAACTTAGGACAAGATTCACACATGGCCAACTATGTAACCACACCCAAAGAAATCTGCCTCCCTAAAGCTTCTTACAGTAAGTTGAGCAAAAAGTTGCGGCACTGTGAGGTTTTATTTAGCAAGCATTTGATGAGAAAACTCTAGTAAAATGAGAGAAAAAAGAAAAAAAAACAGCTTGTAATAGGCATGCAGGGTTAGAGTCTTCTCTGTATGTTATTGGGATACACAAAAACAAACAAGAAACTATTTTCAGAGTACTTCTTTTACAACCCGAGGCCTGCTGGAGCGACAAAACCAAAACGCTGCCGCATCCATAGAGGCCAAAGGACAGAAAAGACCAGTGATTCCCAGCATCCTACTGCAGCCAGACAGCCAATGACAACAGAGGGAACCAGGCAGTAATACAGAGAAGAAGGCAAGTGATTGGTTGGCTGAAAGGCGATGGAGACTGGTGACTTACGGAGGTCCTGTTCCCTCAGAACCGGGACAATTCTGGACCCAAACTGGAAAGGTAAAGAGAACCTTTGGGTTTGAATGGCTCATCTCTCAGATCATGCATGGGTCACATTTTGTAAGGACACTGGTTAGTCTGGTGCAAGATGAACATACTGTAGGTTGATAATAATAAGTAACTGAGATGACGGATGCAAAACAGGAATATACACTTCATGCTCGACATGCCATACTGTATACAACTCCTTTTCAAATCAGAAGCTCGTCCTAGTAGGAGCACATTTTTACTGGAAATGGGATAAAATCATCACAAAGTTGTGTCCGCTAAAAGGTTTTTTTCTATAACCCAAATACAACTCAAACACAAGCAAATGTAAGATATAAAAAAAAAAAAGGTAAGCAGGCAGGCAGAGATCAGATACTCACAAGACTGAACACAACACCACCTCACACACTGACAATCTTTTTTTTTTCCTAACAATGAACGAGAGCAGCGCAGATGCTGTGGGTGCTAGGGGAGGGGAAGGATGGAACCGCATGCATGTGACACAGCTGTGGTTGGAGATGATTCACATAAGAGTGAGTGTTTTGAAAAAATAACAAAAAAAGGAATTAATTTAAATATATCAGGGGGAAAGATCATTTCAGAGCTGTAATGAAAACGTTCAACAAAAACGGAAAATGTCACCGACAGAACAGATTTCTCGTCAGACCAGACTGTTTATTAATATATAGAGATATGTTTTATTTAGAATACCTTTGTAAAAAGTCACCATACATTCAAGGTCAATTTTTAGTATCACATTTTCTGGTTTCCCTCCACAGCATGCATAAGATAAACACTTCGACTAATCAGTTTGTCCATTGTTTCTGGAAATATTTTTGTTTGTTTGTTGTTTTTTTTATTTTTACAAGGACAATTTTTTTTTTTTTCAAAAGAAAAGACCAAAAAAAACTACATAGCCACTCAGGGAATACAATCATAAATAACACTGAAAGCTGCAAAAGCCGTGGTTATCGTTTAACTAATTCACAGCTGTTATTGAGGATATTCAACAAAAGATCATAGACCCTTTCAAACTCACTGTAGCTTCAGAGAAAAAAAAAGGAAAAAAAAAAGAAAGATATCTGAGTGAGGCATTGTATTGAATCAACAATTCTGGCAGTACGTTCAGCCAAGAATGGCAAAAAAAGAAGGTTTATATGGGGCTGAGAGTGGAGAGTTTAATTGTAAAACATGTTTTTGCAATGATCATAATACAGTGCAATTTGGTTGACTGACGGAAACAATTTATATATATATATATATATATATGTATATAGAATATATACTGTATATTCGTGAAGTTAAATTTGAAAATTTGCTTCATTATACATAAAGTATGTGTTTGATAGAAAAAAAAAAAAAAAAAAGCAAAGTAAGGCAAAAATGACACACCCTCTGGACGGAGAAGTCTAGCACTGACACAAGGAAGCACAGCAGGACCTACGGGATCTCTCAGAACAGAAACATAGTAATCTGCTGCACAGCCTTACTTGAAACAAAGCTTTTTTTTCTTTTTTCTTTTTTTTAGCGCGTGTGTGTGTTTGGTGGGAACTCAATAGTAAGCGGGCCCACATGTGCTTAAAAAGGCCATTCAGTCAGTGGCTTTAGTACAATGACATTGGAGTCTTTTGGCACTTGTACAGTACATGAACATGTCCTTTAGTTTGACAAAATGACACAACCATGTACATGCATGAAAGACAAGCAGTAGCAAAGGCAGTCTCTTGAGAGATCAGTCCGTGATGGTGGACTATGATCAGAGATAGAGTATTCAGAGTCCATATCGCTGCATGCCGAGCAGGTAGGCCCCGCTCTGGCTCTCTCGCTCAACGCAATCCTCCACCCACCAACCGCTACTGTCCACACCGACACCACCAGCAGCAGCACCCAGGACGGACGGAAGGAGGAAAGGAGGGACCCGGGGAGGAAGAGAGGACAGAAAGGAGGGATGAAACTGGCCTCTTCCATTCGGAGAAGGGGTGTGTGTGGAGGCAGAGGAGAAGAGGTGGAGATAAGTGGACAGGAGGGAGGCTAAGAGGAGGGAAAGATGGGGAGGAAGAGGCCCCTGTGCTATCCGGAGCTGTCTGTTTCTGTCTGTATGTCTGTTCTCACACAGTCGAAATCAATTTGCCATCAGGACTGTCACTGTGGAACAAAGAGAGAAGGAAGCTTGCCAGGTCGGACACACTCAGAGAGAAATGGAGAAAGACAAGACAGGCACAAGGAGGCAGGATAGAGTTTAGGAGAAGTGCAGGTGGGGCCGGGAAATCTACGTCGCCCCACCTACAGTTACAACTCCAAACACACCTGCCGTTATCAGGAAGATTGGACTTCCAATTCCCTCATCAACACTTGCATGCAGATACGTATGCCGGTTAGAAATTGTTGCACAAATCAAGAAGCTTTTAATCCAATGTTTTTTCCCTTTCAACCACTGAAAAGTGGACGAAACCAAGACGTTACTGTTGATGAGAAAATCATCAAGCCATCTCCTGAGCTGGAGGGATGTAGTATTAGATTAGTCTGTTGGGGGTGAATACACCCTGCAGGACAGCGCTGACTCAAAATACTGTACGGAAAATTAAAAAACAAAAAAAATAAAAAAGACATTTAGAGCAGACAGGAGTTATGCAAAACAGTTTGAAACCGGTGCCCAAAGCCCCAGGCTGACAAGCAGTGATGATTGAGATGAGGTCAGCATGATGTCTACTGTCACAGTAGGTACCCCACCAGTACAAATGCACACACACACACACACACCAAGACATTCTCCTCTATCACACACACAGTCTCTCACACAGACACACACATATAAAAAAACACAAAAAATGTACTCTCTGGTTGGACAGAAACAGGCACAGCATAACTCCTAACCTTAACCTCGCACAGGCCTGGTGAGTCAGCAAGGACTAGATTAGGACTACAGTTAGAATATGCTGGGCCAAGAGCACGCAGAAAATAAACTGAGATACTGACCCTGCTAGACTGCATTCATTACTTTTAAAAGCTATGCAAAAATAAATAAATAAATAAAAATAAAGCAAAGGAACAGCAAAGAGGAAGGATAAAGAAGACACTGTTAAAAAAAAAAAAAATCAAAGGAGAAGACTGTGCATACATTTGATCTACTTCTTGAGCTTAACTACACTCCTCGTTAGCCCTGAAACAATTAGCTGATTGAGGGAAAACCAATGGCTGACTGTTCTGAATACTGACTAACTGTCTAAGTCATTTAAAAATAATAATTAAAAATAAAAAAAAAACTGGAATAAAAAAGCCAGCCAAAGACTCTGCAGTTCAACTGAGGTTGTAGCTTCTTTGATTTGAGGATCTGCTCCTTTTCTCAGTTTGAAATCATTGTAAATTGAACATCTTGGGGGTTTTGGACTGCTAGACATAAACAACTAGCTATTGGCAATGGCCCTGGAAAATCAAGACTGGCAGCTGTCAACACTTTCTGACATTTTATACACCTCACAACCAACAGATAAAAAGGAAACAAACAAAAAGAAACCAAGGGTAATGAAAAATAGAAGAAAAAAAAAATTGCAGCCCTACTCGTCATCCTAGACGGTCCAGGTACACCACAGTTTCTTAAGAAACCGACCGTACTTCACTATTTTGTACTTAATGCCTCTACAAGTTAAAGACAAAAGTAAATAGTTCTGCTGAAATTTTAGACTTTTTTTCTTGATCGTTTGAAAAAAAGCATCCTTGAGCGTTCTCGACATCCATCTATTGTTTGAGGCAACGCTATGAGAAAATGTTGTATATCAACAGCACGTTCAAAAATCAAGCACTCCTTAGTGACTTTTTGGAGTATACAGTATGCATGAAATGTTTAATACTTAATTTATTCCTGATGATAAAGTGAAAGTAGCATTAAATTGAGGCAATCAGGTATACGTTAAGCAGTTGCCTTTTGTCTCTTGTGTTTTTCTTCACTTGCTATGTCGTTACTTCCCATAGTATCCAAATTAAACAATTCAGATGGCAGCAGCGGTCATACAGTGTCAGTGATTACTTAGTAGTCAGGTCAGAAAACGCACTTACCTTGTGGCAAAGCGGCCGTCATAATCCTCAATAGCAGGCTATAAAACAAAAGAAAAAAATAATAGTTTTCCATTGTTTGTTGTACATCTAGTATTGAAGTACCTGCTTTATTAAAACATCAACACTAGGTGGCAGCAGAAACTGAGCAAAAATCTTCTTTTCAGATGCTGCAGGATTACTCATATCTAATTATGCAACATAAGACTAAACAAATGGGAGCTACAAATTAGCTAAGCGGGAGTAACATGCGTACAAACTGTCTTGTTCATGGATGCTACACATTCTAGTACCTGTGTGCCAAAGCCTGCCATGCTGTAGGGGCGTGGGCGGGTCTGTGCTAGGCTCTGTGCCAGCAGCCGGGCGGTCAGGCCGTAGTCAGGTGTGGGCAGCGATGCATCACTCTCCAACAAGTTCCCTGTGCTGCTACTTTTCCCATGGTGCAGGCTGAAAAGGCAAGGAAACAATGGCCTCAGACTTTGAGTCATTTGAGCTCATTAAGCTGACACAATGTTGATGAAAACTGCCACATACTTCACTCTGAGCTTCTCGCCGTCGCTGTCGGGCAGCACACGCGTGTAGGAGAAGGGGAACCAGCCACGCCTGAGTGGGAAAGTGCAGACCACGTTGAAAGGTATACGTTACTTTCAGTCTACCTGCATGCGGGTCCAACTTCAGGGTATGGATTCAGGCAAAATAGAATGCATGAATATATTACTTACATCTTGTTTTTCTCATTTTCCCCATAGTGCCAGCCATCACGGGCTTCAGGCACTAGCAGAGTGATGACGTCTCCCTCGGAGAAACTGAGCAGGGTGCTGTTGTCTCCCGCGGCGTGAGAGAAGATGGCCTGGACACGGGAGCGCCCATTCTTTTCCAGTCCTGCTGCCATGGAACTGGACCTGGGCAGGGTTCGTGTCTCTCCTGTGGAGGTTTGCAGGCAGGGACAATTGTGAGAGAAATTATTAATATTATGTTCAGAGTACTAGAGTCACAACATGCTAGAATGATGCGAGTCTGTAGAGGCAGCTAACGGCAACACTTATGTCTAATGCACATCCAGCAGCCAGAGAGATGCTCTCAATTTTGCAGCGTTGTAAATATGTTTTTTTATAGTATTTGTGAACAGCCACAAAAAACTGTCAGATAAAGCCATAATTTGTCATTATAAACAATCTAACTCTGGCTGAAATAATGGATAGACTCTTCATCTCAAATCATGGCATTATTTCTGTTTTGTTTTATGCTGCCTGCTTCCTGCTCCTTTGGGACAATGAAGAGCAATAGTTCTCAACCTCATGTCAGTTTAATTCTGATTGCAACTGTTTGTGCTATGCTAAAATGCTCCTCAGCATAGGACAATTCACAATGTAGTCTGTCTGCATTGTGAGTGCGAACTTGAGTCAGACAATTAAACTCAAACACATCACGCGACAACTTTCTCTGCTGCCTGATACAAAAAGAAAACATGCACGGTTTTTCCTTTCCATGACTAATCTACAAGAACAGTCTGTCTAATAGAACAGTAGTCTGATTTACGGGGTTCTTGGATGCAGTTTTTTTTTTTTTTAAACTTAATCTACAAGACAGTGAGTTTGTTGCAGGCTCCAGATGTGCACAGCAAAAGAACAAGGAGAAAAATCCTGGAAAGGAAGATTTGCTTGCAAAAACAAATGCAACATCAGTAAAAATGTTCTAATAAAATAAATATTCTGGCGATAGAAAGGACACTCTTGACCAAAAACAAATACTGTTGGGAGTGTCTTGCTGCCACAACACGACTAGTTTCTTTTTATCCTTTAAATCAGAACTACAACGTTCTACATGACGAGTGCAACGCAAAACCTGAATGACATCCAAAGCAAAAACTTCTCCTTACTGTAGTGCCACTGTTGAATTAAGATCCTAGGAGTGTTTACATATCTTACCCACTGGGTTTTTATTCTTGGCGGGGGCAGGCCTGCGGACAGGGAGGGTGTTGGAGTAGACATCGCTGACCTGTCTCTGGGGCTGGGCCTGGGACTGACCCTGTGCCTGGGTCTGAGGGGACGAAGGCCTCACCTGGGACACAGACAACGTTCCCCCATCTGTCCAAAATTCCTCTCCATGGACTCCTGTTGTCCCATTGACCATGGACATGCCGTCAGGGCCCATCAGCCTCTGCAATGAACAAGTGAATTATATGGATTGAGTATGTACAGTTGACTTGTAAAATGGCTTACCCTGTGCAACTCTGTAGTCGCAATGAAGCTGAAGTGATGATATGTTTGGAAACCCAGCTGTTCACATATTAATATATGGATAACAAAACAAACTCAAACTTTGGTTTTGGTTTTGGAGAAATGAAGTCTAGTGGGAGTTCATCGAAGTCTCGTCTGTCAGTTGCTACCCTGCATAAAATGTAGACTTCAAACAGCTCATTAACTTGAGTGCCATCTTTAAAGTGATTTGCTTCCTTATGGAGGACCAAAAGTGGATGAGCTGACATTAAGATAGTACCGTTAGTTCCTTCATGGTGGTACCCCTGAGGAAATGAACTGAAGTATTTCAACTTAAATCATTCAGTTTTTCCAAGAGAAACAAGGCTACATTTTGTATAAAATGCTATAAATTTGATTGTGTGACATCATATCCAAGACTTCAAAATGTAGTCTTAAACACCTACTTTCACTCAAAACTCTGCTTTTTCAGCATATTTTCACCTTAGCTTATATATAGTATGTAAAAGTATTAACAGAAATAAATAAAATCGAGATTTTTTCGCATCCATCAGCCACTTGTTTCTTTGACTCACCGCTGGGTGTCCGAGGCCACTACCCATAAACACGGCCAACTCTGGTGGCACAGGAAGAGGCTGAGCCCCGGGGATGGGGTCTGAGATGACCAGGTTGGATTTTGAGGTATGCAGTGGACTTGTGCCCCCCAGGGCAGCAGAGCCCATCTGCTGGGCCAGAAGCATGGCCCTCTCTGGCAGCTTGTTGGGGTCCGAGCAGGCCTGTTGCCACACCGGGATCTTCTGCGTCAGAAGGTCTTTACCCTAAAAGGATGAAGATTGGGGAAACCCAAGGGAAAAAATAAATAAAGTGATAAACTATGTAGACTTAAGAGATGGGAAACATTGAAAAGCAATAGGACTAGAAAAAAGCTTGGTTAAGCTTTTCCTTTGCTGAACATTTAGTTTTGTCCCTCTTCAATAAAAACCCTTCAGTCCTCAAAGATATTTCCTCACTGTGCATCCTTGACCAGTGCCCTTTGCACAGTTATGATAATGTGCTGCGTGGGTGAGGCAGACTAACATACAACTAAGCTGCCCACTGCAGCATCTCACAGCCTGTGGACACAGCTATTCTTTCTACAATTTACAAAATAGAGATAGTTTATCTAAGAAATGCACGTCTATGTATTATACAGTTTACACACATGCCCAAACTGTGTTTTGTCCCTTTGGATGCATTAATTTTTTGCATTCATCGGATATTTTGTCTTTTTCTCATACATAGACACAAAGAGATCTTGCACACAGGCAAGCAAACACCAGGAACCCTCTGGGAGAGGGTTCTTAGTTTGCTGAAGGTGAACTCTTCCCACGCACTCCCCCATCCTGATTAATGACTAGACTCCGAACTTAGAAAAAAAAACAAGTAGTGGCGGTACAGTCGCCACACACACACACACATACACTACACACACACCTACACACACACACACACTGTCCTCCTCCAGCCACATCTTCAGGCTGGCAGTTCACACCCACCAGTAATCCCGGGAGACTGATGTACTCCATTACCCAAGAATTTGATATTCCGGAGAAATGGATAGGCATGCATTTGAAGCACACACACACCCACACAGACATACAACAAGCATAAATAATTGAAATGACTAAATAATGCTTTCATAGTTCTCCACTACCTTTGATTGTATGATAAGGGGCTTGTATTCAAATAGTCTTTGCTTCAGATGTCATCAGCAATACGTAAATAACAAGCAGACAGAAAAAACATCTCCAGTGACGGCTGTTGTAAACAATAGGGGTGAGAAGCAGTTTGCAACTCTTGTGCTGTTCGTTTTACTATTCATCTTGCTCTAGATTTAATGGTTTTGACGCCTTCTCCCATTAGTCTTTCATGAAGCGGAAAAGTGAAGCAGTTCTCGACACAAAAAGAAGGTGACCAGATGCTTGAAGGTGCAATGATGGATTGTAGCTTTAGATTTGCCTGTCAGCTGGGCATTGTCTACAGTCTTAATGAATTTTTAAAATGAAGAGGCCCCTATGAGCGGTCAAAGCTAATGCGACTTTGAATTATACATCTCCTTGTTTGCTCTTTTTGCTGAACAGTAGTCTACTGCAAGTAAGCTTAAAAAAAACATATGGGGAGCAGCTAGCTAAAATCAGCACAATCCCACAAAAGGAGGAATTTAAGTTTTAGAAATAGTCTTAACGAGCTCTTCAAATTTCTGTTTGAACATAGTAGAAAGAAAATCTGTTTCCCATTAGCCGAAAGACCAAAAGTTCTAAAAACAGGCTAAGCTGCATTAGTTGTTGAGGAGTTACTGCAAGGAAGTGCTTGATAGCTGACCAACATATTCAAAGAAACACTGATTCTCAAAAGCTCATGTCTGTGTATTAACTTTTTTTAGGGGTCCCAGAAGCGGATTTGGTTTCTTGCTATGAGCTTCAAGGCCCCGCACACTTTACAGTGTTGTGGCTAAATTCAAACAGGGTTGCTTTTACCAGTGAGATTAAGTCTTTTAATTTAATGCACGGGGCTTGATTGAAAAAAACAACAACAACAAAAAAAAAAACCATGACATGACACTTGGACTTACCTTGCCATGGTAGGCACTGCTGTTCTTGGCCACAGCACACTGGCGATCGACAAGGAAGCAGTACCTGCGACGCTCCTCAGACAAGGCTGTCTTGTATCCCTCAGCGATGAAGGTGTCCAGCTCAGTCTGCTTACTACTGATGGTCTCCACAAACTGAAGAAAAAAAAACACAGTGACATACGGACGTGAGCATAATGGGTCATTTGAGTTAAACATAACATCGACAGATTTGTCCAAAAGTCAAACAACATGCAGGAGTCTGAAACAAAAGAAAGTATTGAACACTCAGACCTTCTGTGCACAAACACCTACGTATAGCTGTTACACTTTCTACAGCTGAGACAGTTAGTGGTGCACTGCAGATGCTTCATAGCTACTGTAAGAAAAAAATACATATGAAAAAAGGCCAGTATTTAGTCTGTAAGGCCAATGAGACACAAGGTCTGGCCAGGACAAGGTCCTAGCAGCTGCCTACCACCTAAGTACTTTTTTAATAACACCTTGCTTCACATTCATGCAGTTACACATTCACACCTGCTCAGTGCAGCACAATCTTGTATTGTCAATCACAGCACAGCTCCACTGGAGCAATTAGGGGTTAAGTGCACCTTGGCAGTAATAGTTGTGCAAGGCGAGAACCTTAGTCAGTAACTTTCTCGAGCCAGATTTTCCCTGCCGAGTGCTATCGAGGCAAAGCAATTATGACTGAAGATCCTGTGGTGTGGAGAAGGAACAGCTCAACAAGACCCACTAATCCATTTCACATGTAGGACAATAAGAAATAACAGGTGTGTTAATGTCTCTATAAGTGTAAGTAACGGCAACAAAGCTAGAGAGAGACATTCAGCACTGTCAGTTTGTTTTAGCACGAGCCCTCTAAAAATGGGAAACATCTCCCGGATTCACTGATAACACTCACACACACACACACACACACATGCAAGAACCTGCAACAATGGTGAAAAGCTGTTGTAAGTCTTACTTTGAAGAGGAAAAAGTCGGATGTTTTTGTGCATTCACACGTCAGGTACTGTATTTACAAAGCACAGAGTTGCATGTTGCTATCAGAGAGTTTAACACACTGTAGTCTAAAAGTAGGTCAACTGAGTGCAGTTTCATGGCTTTAATACTGTAACATCTGCTGATAAATACTGACCTAGAAGAGAGTGTTATATTTACTTGATTTGATCTCGACTGAACTTTTTTTTTGGGGTATTGGTAGGTTTGAAGTTAGTACTGGGGTATATGTCAATTATATACACTCTACATCAAGTAAACATAAACACATATGTTTAATCAGATACACAAATTAAATTGTCTTAATCGCTGACCACACTTGGCTCAGAATGCTTATAACACTAAATGTTTAATGTTGACAACAGACTCCCAAGCCCTGCTGTATTACAAAATCGGTCGAGTTTGCCTCCGACTGGATCAAGTTTTAGGATCACTGAGACACTTATGTCATCTGTGGCTTAAGAGAGGAAACTGCCAAAGCCCAAGTTACAGCTGCTCCAGTGTGATTAATAGTTCTTCAAGTTCAGCGCTCTCAAAGCATTACAGTACAGTTTAAAAAGTTTTACACCATATTCCACAAAGACTGATGAAGTTTATTAAGTTGGAGTTCCTCCCTGCAGCCAAATGTAAGCTCCTGTGGTGCCTCCACACAGTGCAGATGTATTTCATTTAGTAACCACCAGAGCACACTACTTCCCCACTGCCAACAGCAAAAGAGGTTGGTTCATTGGGATTCCAAGGGTGGAGGAATATTTTAAGTGGCTAAATGACTCTGAACACAAACATTATGAGGAATGGCCTTGCACATTAGCACTGGAAGAAATCCACCTGCGCCATTATACAAATCCACGGTGCCAAGTTGTAAAATCAAGCAAGGAAAGGACGACAGAACGTTCACACTTCTATCCCCCTGAGAGGAGCGCAACCTTATTCTGTTCTTTTCGTGTATCTTCATCTCAAATCAAGTGCTTTAAAACTGGTTCAGTTAGTTGTGGTTGTTCTCTACAGGCACAGTTGAAGTCCTGAGCATCCTCTCAACAAGGTGGGTTGTGAAGGGAAGAGCACAGTCATGCTATTGTAGATGTGCCGCTGGAGCTGCCAAGTTGAAATCTCAGTTTTTTTTTAAAGTCCTTTTTTCTTTCTTGTGAAAAAGTTAAAGATAGTGATTTTGTTTTGGTATGAGTCATACTCTATACTGCAGAGAGAGGAAAAAAAAGAGAGGCGAGAGATAGGAGGAGAGAAAGATGCCATGATGAAGAAATGTTTGGCAGACAGACACACAGCTGGACACTTCAGCTGCTAATATTTGTGAATGAGTCTTTGGTTGCGACAAGGAAGCCACATGATGATCATTTAAGAGATCCCAGCCAATGTGACTGCCCCTCTTTTTCCTTTTGTCTCTCTGGTGGAGTGACCCTTTTTGTTTTCGCACTCTCTGACTCACAGTCTGTTCTCTCTCTAGCCCTTCTAAGCAGAGCTAATAGGAGAGGCTCAACCAGTGTGCCCTCTCCTCTTGTCAAATCCACATGGCCCAATTCTCCAACCATTCAAAAGGTCACCAAAGTAACCCAAGACAATGAGTGCAGTGGGAAAATCCAAGGCAGACACCATCAGCTATTATTTCAGAGTGACCCCAGGTTACATCATAGCTGGAATGACTTGTTTTGCAAAGGTTATGAATATAAATGAAAGCTGCAACACGTCAGTTCCGTCCTGAACTGATCAGCATTACTGCCTTGCTGTATGTCTCCTCACACTGACATATTCAGGACGAAAATCTTAATACATCAGCAATAAAGAAGGAATGAAAAAAACGCATGTGACAGTACGCACTCCATTAGACTGTACACCACCACAGTTTCCAGTAATTGCAAGAAACGGGAAGTGAAGAAAAAGTGAAGAATACAGTCAGATGTACAACACAACAAAACTGTTTACACTCCATTTTAGTCCTGTCGGGATTCAAAAGCCTTTTCCTGCACAGTTCGGAGCTGCTTAGGTCTGCTCCTCTGTTCCTTCATCATCAGCACTCTTTGGATTCAAAAGAATTGTATTGTAATGCTCCGGGGCTCAACACAAAGCGCCTACACCTACAGTACCTCCTGTGTTTGTCAGTGATTATTTTGTGTCGACGTCACCAACACCTCATTCTGGATGAACGTACGCACCTACAATTCCAGGCTGGGATCACTTTTTCAGTTTTATGACATCAAGCCCTGAGCTTATCAAACATCTCATGACATTAATTCTTAATCCTGAACTCCGTCTGTCTCTTTCTGTCTGGGATCTTATTAACAGCCGATGCAGAGCAAAGGAGTTTATCAAGATGAAACCCCTTTCTATGGTACCTTGGTCTCCTCCAGTGTACTACATAATGAACTGATTAGCATTTTAGCGGGCTTCACCCATTGATGAAACTGCACAGTGAAAGTGTCTGAAGGCAGGGGAGGAAAGACAGACAGACAAGTAGGAGTGACAACAGCAAAGAGTGCAGGAGAGAGGAGGAAGAGAGTGATAGGGACAGCGATCAATGAAACGTTGCCGCCATCTGCGTCCGCTGCCAGACTGCGTTCAGACATACCTTACTTTTTAATGAAACGAGCGGAGATAAAAAAGAAAACTTAGAGCCTCTCATCTGTTAAAATAACACAGATGTGGTGGAGGAGGAGGAGGAAATACTGCCTTAGCAACTTCTACCTGTACTTTCTCAACTGCCTCCCACTGTCTGTAAGAAAGCATCTCTAGCCGCACAAACTGTGGGTTTTCTATCTGCTGCCGGTCACTATCTAACCCTTCCTAGGTGGATGGTTGTCATTGTGATGAACAGGTCTTGTGGGAGCGCAGGGCTCTTTCCCTCTCAGTGTGTTGTCCTCCCTGCACGGCTCAGGCACAGACGAGTTGACTTTTCTCTCACACGCCCACAGCCGTGATATGATCAGCGAAAGTGAGCGGGCTGAAAATGAGAAAGGAAGATTGATTTTTCTTTTTTTCCTCCAAACTGACTGTACATTATGAGTCCAGAGCCTGATGAGCTCTTTCTTATGCACAGATGGGCCCAACTGATCAGTCATACAGACACAGTAAGAGTGTGGGATAATACTACTACGCTCCATGTTCAATAGGCACAAAGTAAAACATGATTTTTGCTTCGCCTTGCAAGCACTCAGCCTATGGATTGTGATGTCAATCAGTCCATCTGTTCTTTGCTCTCAGCAAGACACGGTATTACATCAAGCTATTGCAGTGAAACATAGCATCCCGGTGCTCAGAAACACCCTCAGGTTTATGGTGATTTTACTATATAACCTCCTAACTGGTGCCATGGAAACATCCGCCATGGCATGTGTGTGTATCATGAAGCCTAGTCTCGCAGCCCATCCCATAGTACATAAGGGGGTGGCTGCATCTCAGTATCATTCTGCTATAGAGGAATACAAAATCTGCCCTGTTTTTCTTTCTTTAAACCAATCATAATTGACTTGGGCGGAGCTAAGAGACAGACATGGCTTTGGTGGTCCCTTAAAATGGTTGTTTTGGTGGAACATTTACACACAGGAAAGCAAGCACTACCATTAAACCTGATAATCCATGCAAAATCTAGCAGGGATGCCTTACTGCTTGATCCAAATCCTGTACAAAACTTGAAATTTTCAGTGTGGTAGGTTGCTAGCTTGGAGGTAGTTGTTTCTCCTGTAGTGGTAGTCGCCAAGTGATTGCTCAAATGGAAGCCAAAGGTAACTTTGGATTGTTGTTTTTTTGTTTGTTTAAAATGTTTGAGGTCTTCTTTATGTTATTATGTTAAAAAGAATGAAATTTAATAGTGAAGTGGATCTTGAAAACAGTAACCACAGATGGTAGAAAGAGAGGACAAAGCCAGCAGAAATACCTAATTTACCTGAAACCTACATCTGTTGAGTCACACAATGTAAAATCAAATGATTCATGTTCAAAGAGATCTTCTGTGGATATTTGTACAAATATAAATGATTCTGGATGTTTCATCTGGAGTCGCCTCATTAAATGGTAATGAAATACCAAAATCTTTCAGGCAGATTACCAAGAAATGCCAACAGCATGAATCTGTGCTGTGTAAACACTCCATGAGCTTTCCTCTAGGACCACCAATACCATTAATGATAGATGCGGTGTATTTGCTGAGCCCTCCAGAGGACAAACTGGTCTGATTTTAATGCCCGCATGGCCTTTGGTAAACCTTTACGACAAACCCCCACGTAGCATTACTATGCACAAGGCTCTGAGAAAGTAGCCACGAAAACACATAAACATCGTTGCATTCTGGAGTGTAATTAACATTAACATCCTACCGGGGGCTTTAATAGGGACTTAGAGTATCATTTTAAAATTTAATCTAATTAAACTCTTTGTACTTTCTGTATTTCTGGATAATTCTGTTTTGCATTCCAGTTTCTGTGTATCAAATGGTGCTACTGGAGCCTTGAGCAAAGCCTAATTACCTAACACATGAAACACTTGTAGACAGTCAGGTACATGCAGCAACTTGCCATTCTTCAGACTTATTGGTGCAGTGCCCTCAAACACTCCTTCCTTTTGAAGCTGTGCTACAGAATGGGGCTGCAGCACACACTGCCAGCTTTGATGCCTTATGATGACACCTAAAACAGCATCTCTCCATGGCATTCCTGACACAGTGGAACAAACTCAACGCGACACAGCAGTCAGATCAATCCAGCACTGCCATACCATCCAGGACAGGAAGGGCCACATGTGACGTGGACGGAGGAGACGCTCTTTCTTCATGAACCTGACCAGCAAAGTGCAATGTTTTTATAACCAAGGAAAAGTTTGGTAGAATCATATTTCTAGTGCAGGCAGGAATTGATCTGATTCTGTCATGGGTGGCCACACATCATGGCAACACCAACAGAAGCTCAGTAGTTATGCTGCAAGCCTTGACCTGTTAGTTTGACATTTTTGCCTCCATCCCTCCAGGCAGTTAGACTTCCACTGAAATCTTTGTGAGGGAACAGCAGTCACACTGTTGACATTTTCTGCTGTGTCATTTTTCTCAGTTTGACAGTAACACTGGTTGCAGGACTAAACAAATGAACAACACACAAACAACAAGACAGTGAAGTCTTACGATTGGAAATGAATACAAAAAAAAGGAGTGTCTTTACAGGCATTTAATTTGATGTATAGAGAGCATACTTGCGCTGCTTCTCCTGTCAAGTAGGTGGTCGAGTGACGGTAAACGAAACGTGAAAGAAAACTAATTAAGTTATGTCTACCGGTGAAGGTTCTTTCCAACTCATCAACATTCATTTCACCTGAATGGCTCCGCTTTGCTATGGAAATTATCACATGAATGATAATGCAAACACCGCTTTGATCACTTGGTGGACAAGACTTCAATTTAACATGAAAACATTTTGACAAGTTGGAATTGTTTGTTGTTTGCTGGAAAAATATTCTTCCACATAGAAGCAGACAGAAACATGCACAGCAGACGTGCGCTACATTACGTCACCAGCTTTTCAAAAAATATATTTCATTTTAGGAAGACAGTAACTACAAATCTATTTATATAAAATTGTAAAAATGACTAAAATCTTGGTACATAACGTAGTTGAATAGTATTCTGCTATGGCTTTATATTTCAAAATGTCAGCGCAAGTACAGCATCCTCACATTTTCACAATCTGATGTAGGCCACTTTGGATAATTGAGTCAGCTATTTTGTGGTGAATGTGTAAGCTGTGCTTTTACTCATCCTGTTAAAACCCTGATCAGAGCCATGTGCTGAAACACACTGGCTGAATTAAGTGCACGCACCTTCAGTGCATCAATTAGTGTAGTAGATTTGATTATTTTCTCGCGTGTGTGTCTACGTGCTGCTTGTATGTGTGTAGATGTAATAAAGATTGTCAAGGGCACACGAATCATAATCAAACCTCCACTATTTGCCTTCCCACTCAGGACACCTCTTTGCCACCGCCTCCGCCCCCATCCTGGCTGCTTTGAGTGTTCTCTTTACTTTATGAAGAAAAAAGTCATTATTTTTATCAAGACTCATAAATCTCTAATCCACCCATCACCCACATCCACACAAACTCTGCTAAAACTCAGTCAAGTAGTGCAACAAAACTGACTGTAGAGTATGTATATTTGAATTTCTTTCAGTTTTGCTCTAATTTGCAGGCATTTTTACATTTTCTTCAAGAGAATAAATTTAATTCTCAACTGTCTGTTGTGATGCTTTGTAGCATTTCCATTGCAACTCATGTAGCATTATGGACAAACCCATCAAGAAGCTCACCTGCATCTCCTTCTCGCCATACTTGGAGGGGTTCTTGCTGCCCTGGCTCTTCCTGCGTAGCTTCTTTAGTTCAGCCTGGCACTTCTCCAGACTCTCCCCTTTGCTCTTGTGTTCCATCTGGTATTTCTTCAGGGCAGCCTACATGGGACAACAAACAGCGAACAAACACAAAATTAGACATCGTAAAAGGACTACAAATTAAAAAGCCTGCATGAAGGAGACTGAAAAGTAAATGAGCCAAGTAAGCAGCAGTCATGACAACCCTTGTCCCAAAAGTTTTTTTTTAGATAGATTTCGGGCTAATAAAACAACTTCTGGATTCAACTCAGGTCACATGTAAAAGACTTGCTTTAGATACTCAGGCAAAAAAAAATGTCACCTTCATTTTTTGTTGAAGTTACACTACATGCTGTTACATTGCACTGCAAGCGTGGATTGTTCTGGAAGCTCTTTGTCGAATGTGTTCAAGAAGGCTTTGAAATCTAAAACTCATCTTTTTAATTAAAAGAACAACCAAATTCACACAATCCTTTACAAGCTCCACGTTTGCTTTCTTTGTGTCCTCTAGGTTTGATGTAACAGCAACACAGCGTGTGATTGTGTCTCTTAAAACATCCGCTGCAACCGATTACCGCAAGTTCATTTTCATAGCATAGTGAAATGAGCAGAAATCTGTGACAGCCTACGATGTAGAAGGAAAACAGAAAAACAGAAAAACAGTGCTTTGTAAAAACAAAAAAAAGAAAGGTAAATGAATGGCCTAATCATTTTACAGCCACTGTTTATTTATTTGATTTATTTAATTTGCTTAATTAATTATTTATTGAGAAAAACAACTTTGTTGCCGGGCTGTTGCTATAGTAACAGTGTCTGGTGTGACAAAGCTCGTGTGGTTTCTGTACGAGGCAAAATTGCAGGAGGAGAGCTCATGCATGAGGGTTCAACACCCGTATTTGCATATTGTAAGACACTGAGGATGCAGGTAGGTATGCACCAGGTATACTGAAAAGGAGCAGGAAATCAGCTGCTGTTGTCACGGTGAGACTCGCAGTGTGTCACAAGCTGTGTTTGGATTTCACAGCAGAGATGGGTGGATTAGTACTGTAGGTCTGAGCTGGTTTGAAAATCTCTAAGCAGCACAGACGTTGCCAGGAGTAAACTTAAAAACCATTCGTCATTTTACCGTCGGCTACTGATGATGAATTTTTTTACACGTCAGAACATCTCAGAAATATTGATTTGTTCAATATGTTTCCACACAAAAAAAAGGACCAAAAACATGGCTGTGCTCAGGTGTGGTCTTTGTAGCCCAATAACAATAGATGACTCATCCTTTCATTTCCTTGGAATCCTTGAGGTAAAGCTGTACAACCACCTCGGTTTGCACGGCGATTGACATCCACGTTTAACTCCCTGACACAGAAACACCCTGGTGGAAAACCCCCAACACACAAATCATAATAATGATCAGAGAGGACACAATTGGCTATTGTGAAAAGTCTGCTGCAGGTGCAAGGTCATATTGGGCAAGCAAGACAACATCCTCGAGCCAGTGGACTGTTGTTGCCTCTGCCCATAACTCTAAATCATTGGCTACTGCTGCAGACAGATATTTAGTGTGTTTAAAACTGATTAGCAGCACAGGGAACAATATATTGACTTTACTACACTTAAAGAATCTGACCTTTGTCTGTAAAGGCTAATCTGCCTCGCTGGTAATCAATACATTTTTGTCTTCCAGGTTTATTCCCAAATTCTCACTGAAGATAGTTCTAAAGCCTCACACAGGCCATTACGAGAAACAAAAGAGAGACAGAGAGAGAGATGCACCGCTGGGAGCACTTCTGTCTGCAAAACACAGCACGCTTCCCCTCGAATCTTTATGAACCGAGTCAAAATTTCAGATGATAAATTCACAAAGTGTGAAGCAAAGTGATTGCTATTATCGCTGCGGCAGATCTGTAAGAAATTCATAATAAGTAATGGCTGTTAAAAGCTCAGGGATATGCCAAGATAGAAATATCTGAAATGACGGATGCATCTGAACTAATGCACAAAGCAAATCTCCTATCGTTTCCAGATCAGTTTAGACAGCAGACATGAATGTGGTTCATGCGTAAGGAGTCCACAATTACATGGAGATAGTTTACATCAGAACAAGCATGGTTTTTAATTTAGACTCCACATGACAACATCTGTTTTACTTATAAGTCTCCCTGAATCTCCCTAACCCGTTTTTCTCTGTGTAATACAAAAAGCAATATTATATAAAATGTGTGTGTGTGTGTGTGTGTGTGTGAGTGAGTAGCTGTGAGCTGAAGTACATCATAACGTGGTCCTTCCAACAATACAATACAATAATGGCAACATTATCCCATCCCCCAAAACAACACACAGCGGTACTGCTCTACACTCAGGCTCCAGCCCACTCATTCTAAAGATATCACATGTAGACCAGCTCCACAGTGCTTACACACTTATACACACACACACACACACACACTCCAGGAGGGGTTTATTCTAATCAGTCCACTCTTGACAGATGAGTAGACATGAAATGTAATTTCAAAGCATCTCTTTTCAGAGACAAATCCTCTAGTTGTCTCAGAGAAGGATCAGATCCTAAAACACAGAGCTGCGTCTCCATCTCATCTCAGTGGAGACGTTGTGTTGGAGATGTTAATGACAAATTTGAGCTGTTTCTGTGTTTTGTTTTTTTTGGCTAAAGTTATTCATATTAATGGCAAATGGTTTATTTACCTCCACAGCAGTCCAACCGATATTATAATTGCAAACAAGCCCTTTGCATGTCTCCACTGGGACATTAGACCACTCCTCTTTTGCAATGGTGTCCAGGTGTCTATGGTTGGAAGGCTTCCTCGCCATCACTCTGCTCTTGATTCTTGATTGGATTCAGGTCTCTACTCTGGCTGAACCACTCCAAAACACTGATATTGTCTTCTTTTAATCATTTCGTGACAGCTTAGTTTGTATGTATCAGATCTATGTCTTGTTGGAAGGTCCAATGCTGCCCAAGGGCAATTTTGTTTTGTGCAGACTGCTTGATGTTTCCCTCCAGAATCTTAATGCCGTCCTCTTTTCTCAAGATGCCACATTTACTTTGACAATGCTGTTCGGCTTATTGGCTCAAAGCTACGTCCCTTTGTCTGAACAACTCTATTTTCATCTGATCTGGCCACAGAAGTGATAACCAAAAGCTTTGATGTTTGTCCATGCGAGCTTTTGTAAAGACCAGGTGTGTTTTTCTGTGCTTGTCTTTGAGAAACAGAGTCCTCCATAGAGACAGACTTGTGTAGTGTCTGCCTTGAGATGTTGATATCAGAATTGCTCAGACTCATCAGGATGGTCTAGGTGGTAACTCTTGGATTCTTCTTGGCTTCTCATTTTGTCAGTACAAGGGTGATTTTCAGCATCCTAGCGTGAAATTCCTTGTGCTTGTCTCTGTGGCCAACAGCACTTGAAAACAAATAGATATGGCTTTATAGCCTTTCCTCATCTTGTGAGCAGCCACAATGTGCAACGCTCTCTCAGTGATGGATCCTGATAAGAAGCTCATTAAGCTTTTGGTTTTTAGCTGTGATTTAAAACTGACTCGAAACTGACTACAGAACTACTGTATCAGCTGTTCTCAAGTTAAAGCATATCCAAATGCTCTGGAACATGGCAGACATTACCAGCAGCATTTGGCAAAGTACAGCAGCTGGCCTTTTTGCAAAAAAAATTGCAAAAAAATCCAAACCAACAGAGAAAGATCAAGTTAGCTTTATCAAAAACATGTCTTTTATCAATTTTATCACAGGTTGCATGGTGGCTCGATAGTTAGCATCGTTACAGCTAGAAGATCCTCTGTTTGCATCCCAGTTAGGACACCCGGGATCTTTCTGCGTGGAGTTTGCATGTTCTCCCCGTGCAGCGTGGGTTCTCTCCGGGTTCTCCGGCTTCCTCCCACCATCCAAAACCATGCTGAGGTTATTTGGTGATTCTAAATTGTCCGTAGGTGTGAATGTGAGTGTGCTTGGTTGTCTGTCTCTAAGTGTGGCCCTGTGATGGACTGGTAACCTGTCCAGAGTGTCCCCTGCCTTCACCCTAAGCCAGCTGGGCTAGGCTCCAGCTCCCCATGACCCTAGCAAGGATTAAGCAGTGTATCGACAATATATTCATGGATGTCTTTATCACTTGTTCAAATCATTTCCAGCCTATTGGTCACTTCATTGTACTTAACTCAATGTGTTGATGCTGTGTTTTGGATTTGGGAGAGCGAGCTACAGACACTGATACTCACAGTCAAATAACGAGCATCCAGCTCCACCTTCTTCTCCAGTTCAGACAGCAGCTCATTGTGGAAGGATTTCAACTGGTTAAAAAAAAAAAAGCACAAAAGCTGAGTTAACACGAGGAAAGGTTTTCCACATTAAGTAATAAATGACATGTGTTTTCCTTATTTACTCAGTTACTGGTTAAATGTGGAGCTTCTCTGACATTGCAAATCACTGTCAATGTTACTGATTCACAGATGTCTAACACAATATTCACCCAAATGATTCCTAAAATTGCAATAATACCTCAAATATACAGTTTACTGACATCCCCTCATAAATATTGAACTGTTAAAACCATCAGTTATCCTAAATTCCCGTTTTCATAATGTTTTCCCTTCTTGTTTCCTTTAATATTTTCCTGGGTTAAGATGAAAAGAAGACATTTTATTGACACAAAACATTGAATAAAATTGAAGTCAGGTGATGATATGTGACAGCGGTAAGGGAGCGTAATAAACAACAGGTGACTATTCTATAATTAAATGATATTGATTAGGTAATGCTGCCACAGTACATCAATGAACGTACTGGATCATTGGAGAATGTCCTCTTGAGTCAATCAATTCTCCTTACTCTGCATACCATCATGTGATTATTTTTTCTCTCTCTCTTGGCTCCATCATGCTTTGTATAGGGCCTGCATGTTGGACAGGAATGGTTACATACATATGGGGGGCACTCAAGCCCTCAGGTACCCACATGATCCTATCACCTGTGTCCAGGCTTTCCTCTGCATTAGATGCACAGCAACAAAAAGGGGAGAAATTACGCAGAATGCCACACTGTTCAATTAACTCACTAGATTTCCCCAGCCACCTCCTGTGTTAGCAATTTGGATTTATGCGGACTCAGCAAGTCTCTTCATTCAATGTGAGTTCATGTTCATTTTATTGTCATTTTATCCCATGTAGACCAGAGCCCAGGGACAAATTTGTGTCATGGCTGGTTAAATTGTTTTAGGGAAATCATGAAGCAGAGCCACGCAGCGAACTAAAATGTGTTATGGCTGTAATAACTTCTTATCCTCTCTAATCTGTTGTTAAAACATTTCAATATACCGCAGTAATGGTGAACCACATGACTAAAACCCTTTGAGCATAGAATACCAACCATCTCTTCTAGCTGCACTTGGATCTGTCTATGGACCTCAGCCATCTGGAACAGCACATCCCCTACACAGGGAGAAACGGGAAGAAAAGGAGAAAACACATGAGCGATACTCGACGACAAAAGCAGAAAACAGAGAGAACAGTAAAAAAAAATACATAAAAATAGACGACAAAAAATGAGATACAAGTAAAGCAAGAGAGACCCCAGCGTGCAAAGCCCATGCAGAAATACAAGACACACAAACATACAGGACAAGTGACTTGTAACTGGAGCAATGACGAACATGATGAAAGTTTGTTTATGGCACAAGACAACAGAAAATTGAGACACTGAAACATCATCAAGTGATGGCAAGGACGGCAAATATAAAACAAAAAAACAAAACAAAATTGAAGTGTAAAACAGAACAAGCTGGGGGGAAACAAAAGGCTTAAAATTAAAGTCTGGTTCTTCAAGCGTGTAAGTACTGATGTCTTGTGGAGATCAAATATATCGCCTTTCTTTCTTTGATCGATCTTAAAATCAGGCAATGTGACTTCTAGAAGGGAAAAAACAACAAAATAAACACCTCAAAGAAAGGTTAAAGTCTCCACATAATAAAGAAGTACAAAAAAACTCAAATCAGAGCAATAAGAAGATAAGGAAGGGTCATGCAACTAGTGAGTGTTTTATTTTCATATACCTACAGGCTGCCTCTTCTGAATATGCAGTGCATTGTCAAGAAAAGGAACACAAAGAGCTACATTGAGCGAAGGACACATACAAATAGAGACCTGGTGGAAAGACAGAGTGAGATCCACATGTACAGAAAATGAGACGCACACATTTCCCTGAACAGACCGTCCAAAGCCCCTTCTGCCCATTTTTTTTTCAGAGATATTGCACAGGTTATATTCACAGATTTTGTGCAGGAAAGATTAAAAGTTCAGTAATTGGCCAGTGATGCGACAGGTTATATAAATTCAAATAGCTTTCACTAGCCTAACATGAGCCTATAAATTGCAATTCAGTAGAGCCTTTTAAAAATATATTAAACTGTGTAACGAATATGATCCATCATTATGTTACTGCAGACTTTAATACTGCAGCCATTTTGGAAAATAAATAAATCCTGGACAGCTGAGCAGGAACTGAAGTGCAACACTTAGAGCTCATCAGTTTTTTTTTTTTATTTTTTATTTTATTTCTTTCCCTGGCTCATTTCACACTCTCCTGCTGCTGCGTCCTCTTCTGAAAGCTGACCTACAAGAGTACATTCTCAGCCCATCTCAAAATGCTTCGTAAGTGAAATCAGAACTCGTGCTGAAGTGGTTTCAGCACAAACTTGTGCTCTTTACCAAAGGGCTTTGGAGTGGTCTCCATCTCAACGGACGGCAAGCACAATGCAAAGTGACAATGTTGGAGTGATGGTGACTGAGTTGCCTTCAATTGCTCGGAAACAAAACAAAACAAAAAAGAGCTGTGTAATGGATAAAGCGCCTCGTGTGGGGAAAAGGGTAACACTACCACATTAGCATTTACAAGCTGTATAGAAACCCACTATACTGTAATTGGTTAGCAGACATTTGAAAGTGTTAATTGCAATTCTAGCATCTCCTAGATATATTTTAACCATCTTGCTGACCTGTAGCAGCAAAAGCAAACATTGTGCATAAACCCTTTTTTCCCCCTACTTGCTAAATTCAGTGCAACTTCTGACAGTGCATGTCCAAGACAGGGAGGCCTTTAACCCATGCAGAAGCCTGCCTGCTGATCTTGTGCCTCACAGAAGCAGAGAAGCAGGCCAAAGCATCCTGTCAGTCCCCAGCAGGCTTGCTAAGCAGCTTACAGATACTCATCCCTGATCACAGCCCTTCAAGCTTAGAAACCCTGCCATTCTGTTGGCGGCTTCAACTAGCTGGATCAATTAACTAATGAGCAGCCATCACTGCACCGTAGACGCAGGCACGCAGACTCACACATGTCATGTAATCTGGCCACGGCACACTGTGTTTGTGAGGAGCCAGAAAGGAAAAGAATGAATGAAATCTGCAAGAGATGTCATCTTGTTATCTGCAGTTTTTTTTTTTATTTTTGCACAACACCAAAGCATGGAAAACAAAAAGAAATAAATAATTTAAAAAAATAAAAAAATCACACTTTGGAGATGCAGATGGTTTCCATGGCAACTTCAATATCAAATCACACAGTAACGGTAACAGAAAATTGGACTGCCACCTTCAGGGGCAGTTAACATCAGAGAATTCAATCAAGAATCAATAGAGGTATAATAAGGAAATCGCAGTGTGTTACGCAACGTCACTGTTTCCTACAGAAAACATTCAATAGGCATGACACAACCTGTGAAACTTGCCACAAAAGCCAGCATGTCAAGGATATCCGCATACCAGATAAGAGTGACATGACAGGTTGATCACCACACTTACAAACTCAAGAACTGTCACAGAAACATGTACCCTCTCACTCACACAGATGAACACACAGACACATCCGTGTGTACACCGTCACAGACTTGTCATTACTGTATCAATATTCCCAGCTCACTTGAACCTCGCATGTGTTCCTAACTGAGAGAAAACAATGGTTCTTTTGTTGGGCGAGGAGCTCAGGTTGATCTGCACCTGCAGCTCTGCAACAAGCAGCCACATGCCTGCTAGCCTAAACCACTGAGTCAGAGGAGGAAGCATGTTTGCAGGACTTGTGTGTATATGAACAGACTGTCCCCTGAAGTATGACATCAGCTTGTGTAGATCTATTGACTGCTTGTGTAACAGCAGCCATGATACACCCACACAGGTGGAGAAAAAGGAAAAAAAAAAACTGAATAACAGAATGTGGGCTATGGAGCAGAAAAAAATAAAATAAAAAGTGGAAGTTTGCAGTGCTGAACAGAGAGAACAAGAGAGACAGAGATGGAGAGAGAGAGAATGGAGGTGGATGGAGAGACACTGAATCACTGGTGAAGGTCAAACCGGATTCACTAAGGGTTGTCATGGAAGCAGGATAATGCTAGGGTCGTTGCCATGGGAGAAGCTGCAAGATGAGGAGCAGTGCCTGCAAAACGTTGTGTTACAAAACACTGTTCAAAGATCTCCACCCTTTACTATCAGCTATCATTCAGCATATACGCTTCCCCCGAGGGGGAGACGAGCGGTGTGTGTGTGTGTCCCAGCAGGAGAGTGTGTGTACAGTGCATGTGAGTATGCACGGTGTGCGTGACTAAACAGTGAAGTTAATACCATCCTACCTGGTGTGCCAAGTCACAGGGGAAACAAACCACTGGGCAAGTACAATGGGGCAGCGGGATAATGTGCGAGACGCTGATAATAGCTGAGACTCTGGGTGGCCGTGTGAGTGTGTGTGCGTTTGTTTACACATGTGTGGGTACGCTCAGTGTGAGACCACAACATCTAAACACAGCTAATCCAGAAGCAAGGGCAGTATATACTTACAATTCATCCATCTCTCGTGCTCATAAACACACACTCAGTTACTGGTTTTGTACACTGGATGCTAAACTCAGTTTGAACTCATTTCCTGCTTTGCTCATTCATGTAGCCTCTCACAGGAGAAGACTACTGATATATACATGACACTTTGCTAAAATTGGAAGCTCAGCCATCACAGCTGCTCAACCTACTAGCCTAATATAAGTTAGTCCAGCAATGGTGTCACGCATTTAGGCCACAATGACGGCTTAACAGGAGAAGTATGCGATTGCCAAACAGAAATGGGCCAGAGGGCAGAACCAGGGATGTTTAAGATTAATTCTAAGAGGGTCTAAGAAGGTGTACAGCATTTTCAAACCGTCTCGTACCAAAGAGCCAAAAATCCTGGCCTCTTTTTAAAGCCTCTGTTCTACTATCCTCAACCACACAATACATTTTAGAACAACGAAGAAGCCAAAAGCCCTCAGTGTGGTTTTCTGTCAGTATTTTTGGAGTATTTCCGTCAAACTATTTCTGAGTCCTATTGGTTCAGAGAGGCTGCTTTTAAATGTTAAACTTGGTAACACTTAATAATAAATTATGCTGAATATGGGAAAGTAGTAACAGAAAAACAGAAGATTTATAATCTATGTTGTTTGGTATAAATCAAACAACTTATCTAATCTTCAATTTGCAAATGCCCTCTCTCTTATGATTATTATTACCGATCACTTTGTCTTGTATAGCTGCCATGTCTTACACTGCAACACCAGTCATGTCATGTAAAGTTGTCACATATCCTTCACTGTGTCTCTCCTGATTTGTTCATTGTACCATAGAAGATTAACAACATAACAGAAACACGCATAAAAAGCCATGTAGCATGACTTAAACCCTCAGAAAAAAGAAACTTCAATGACTGCAGTAAACCCCCCACTTTATCTGCTTTCCCTTGTCACTGACAGCACAAGCAATGGGTTACAAATAACTTCATTTGACAAAAAAATGTGGAGGGAGGGGGAGAACAGTTACTCTAGGACAGCTTACGGTATGTGTGTTGATGCATTTGTGGGTGTGAGGCCCTTTAATACATCTGGGCTGTTTTTGTCTTTTGAGGATAAAGGTATGAAGTTCAGAGTGAGAAAGGCTAAAGATGAAAGGAAAATGAATTTTGTTCCAGGGCAAATTACAGCAACAGGTAAAAGAAGGCAAAAAGTGGAGTCATAGAGAAAATCCCAGGAGAATACATTAAAAAGAAGTCGTACATCAGTGTACCAGTTTCAGACGAAGCTTTCTACACTTGAGCAGCGGCAATAACAAAAACAGCACAGTCATGTTGAGGTACAGAGAATCAAGAAGGAGCTGAGTAGAAAACCAAAGAGGGCTCTTTGACTGTAAGTGTGTATGTGCTATTTGACCAAGCAAGGCAGCCCTAAGTAAACCAGGACATCTAAACACAGCGTGTATCCATATCTGAATATGCACTACATTGGGGAAACAGTGGTAGTCTGGCTAAAGTTCCAAGTAGAACTTTCCTCTTTTTTTTTTTTTGTATTCATGTCAGAGCTGTAACATTCAGAGGTGTATGTACGAGACCATCCTGCACTCCAGAATTTTCCACATTTAGGGTGTAT